GGGAAAACACTCAAGGGTAAAGGGCAACTGGGATGTGGGAAAAGAGAAGGGAAAGGAGGAGAAATTTTGTATGTATGTATATACAGGATAGTTAACATAGTTTATCTACTGTCTTCTATTTCTTTGCTGAAAGAAACTGTCAATGAGTCCTTGATTGATCAATTTGCATGTCTCTATTTGTTTTCATGAGAAACCACTCTGAAGATATCAATATGTAATACAACTAGCATTGTTAATTTCCTTCCACTTTGTTTGTAACTCTGTATTGTTTGTACTGTTCTTTTGCTATTTTGTAAATGGCTGTCTGTCTGTTAATATTTTGCTCCTTATATTTTTAAAATTAAAAAAATGGCAAATAAATACATGAAAAAAATGTTCAACATCATTGGTTATTTGAGGGATGCAAATTAAAACAACACTGAGATTCCATCTCACCCCAGAAAAAATGGCTATCATCAAGAAATCACCCCATAACAAATGTTGGAGGGGCTGTGGGGAAAAAGGAATCCATCTCCACTATTGGTGGGAGTGTAGACTGCTGAAACCACTTTGGAAATCAATGTGGATATTCCTCAAAAAACAAGGTTTAGAGGTCCCTTTGAACTCTTTTGGTCCCATTATTCCCCTTCTGTGTATTTTCCCCGAAGAATTAAAAACATCATACCACAGCGGTATATGTACACCCATGTTTATAGCAGCACAATTTGTCATAGCTAAATCTTGGAACACATGATTCTTTCAGGGATCTAAGAGTAAATAGTAAGTCACTAACATTGGACTAAAGAAGCCCAAAGATTTAGAGATACCCAAGGTTTCATAGCTGTCCTTCCACATTCTCAAGGTTTGAAATGAAGGCTGCTGAAACCCTAAGACAGTTACCCCGGGCAGCACAGCAATCCCAGACCCTTCTTGCACTCCCTGCTGCTGACACCAGTAGCAGAGACTCAGTGACATAAAAATACTAGAACTGTAAATTTTTCTTGCTAGAATCAATGGGCAGTGAACTAAAACTTTTTTGCGAGAAACCTCACTGAAAGAAATTGATTTTTGGCATTATAACATTCTCATGTCTAGGGAAATGGAAAAAAATCTTCCTTTGTGCAAAATTCCCTAATTTACATTGTGCCTTTGAATACCGAAGTCCTGGAACCCTCATGCTAATGACTGTGGGATCCTTCTACACATCTTCTGAGGAGGCATTGGCTCTTCTTTTTTGCTACCATGGCTACTGCCACTGCTTTTTGTGTGGACTTGCTTAGACCTATGAAATCTGTCTCTCACAAGGGTTTTCTCGTCATCCCTGCATTTGTTAAAATGGAAAAATTTTTTGTTCAGATTCTTAAGTTATAGCTGCTTTGGATGCTTCTTAAATGTGCACCTGAGAGCCTGGGAAAGACCCATACCTTTGCCATGTACCTGTGAGACTGTAAGCACATACAATTTGGGTAATCTCAATGTGAAGCCAAAGCTTGTGCAACTAAGCCAGATCAACGAGAAGCAACATGGCAGAGCCTCCCTCTGGACCAGCTGCATGGATCCAGGAGTCATGACCCTCCACAGGACTATGTATGCAGAAGGGCCTGTGAAGCAATTGTCTAACATGTCTCTCTAAGCCTAGCACTATTTTAATATGAGAAACTAGTTCATGGGGACATTTGCTGCCTTGCAGTGAAAAATAGCAACTATATTGTTGTCTGCCAATGCCTAAAAAGAACTGAATCCCATGTCAGTACTTCCTATAGTGCTAGGCCAGCCTGGTTCTTTGGAGACCCCTTCCCCATGTTTTAAGAGGTTTTTCCAGTGTAAGATATGGACCAGCAGCTGTTCTCCTTGGAGACATCATGGTGGTTCCTGTTGTCACAGGGCACTTGGTTCTTGCAATAAGAACAGGGGATAATAAAAGGATGAATTCCATACATTTTTGGCAAAGTAGGATAGGGAAAAAGATACGACTCCCCTTTAAAAGGAGACAGGTCATGGACTAAAACCCTAGAATTCCTCCTGTCTCCTGTCCTTGTAAGCATCCCTCTCCTATTTTAGAAGTGGGGAGAAGAATTCAGGCAAAATCTTAGTCTGTCTTCTGTGATGCTGTTTTGCTGTTCACAGGTCTTTATTATGTCTTCTACTATTGTGTATGTACTCACCTCTCTTCCTAGGTACATCGAGTTAGGCTTCATGATAGGGAGTTCATTTTTTCTACCCTGAAGATTTCCTGCCATGTAGCATGATTTGCAATATATTTTTGATAGATAAAGAGATGGAATAAGTGTAAATGGTTTTTGTGTTGCAAGGCTTATCATATTTGAGGTTGAATACTTTTGTTTAATTATTCTATTTTTTAAAGAATGCCAAATCTACTTTAAAGGACCATAAAGAGATAATTGATTCTGAGCCAAATATGAGTGATCTAGGCCTGGGAGATTCAAGTTACCCTGAAAGATTTTTCCCAAGAAAAGGAAATCATAACAGTGTGTACAGACAGAGGACAAAGGTGATCACAAATCAATGCATGAGGTGAATGAGCTTTTGGGAGCATTCTGTAGGCAGATCATGGTAAAGTAGAGGAAATCTGATCACTGAATTGAAATGGTTCTTACTGTATCCTTAGGAGACTGGATGAATCAGGAGTCTGCTGTTGGTCCAGCTGGGGGAAGTTAATCAGGTCAAACACGTCTCAGAAAGTCTGCCGAGCAGTCACGACAATGTTAGGTCGGAAGGAATAAGAACAATCCGGAGCAGTGGCTTGTTTTCTAAAGGCTTGATGTAGCCTTTACCTCGCATGGTTTTCAGTGCTTGTTTGTCATTTTGTCTTCTTCTGAGAAAAACTTTTCCATGTGGTGCTCACTTGGAAAGTTCTATTGTAACATAGGTTCCTCGGAAATGGTAAATATTGTTTTGAATCATTTTAATTGGGAGTGAAAACATTTTATAGTAAACTTTCCTCTGCTGCCTACCACAGTGGAAGGCAAAACTGCTAGCTGTCAGGAGTTGACTGACTCATAAACTTCTGATTGCTCAGACCAAAGTCTTTGAACATAGTGTGCCCAGGTAGGAGTGTAGCTCAGGGATAGAGCAGGTACTTAGCATGTTCTTGGGCCCAAATTCAAGGACAGGGCCAAGATGGAAATAGGGTGTGATGTGTGTGCCTTTATCTTTTGGCAGTGCCTCCTCGTTAGGTAGCAAGCTCCTTGAAGACAGGGATTATGCCAGTCTATTTACCACTATAGCCTCATGATCTGTCACTATTTTGCTAACCAGTAGTTATTGAATAAATTAATTATTATTTCTTTGTGGAAATGATCATATTAAAGAACTGTATAGAACAGTTCTATATCGTTCAATATACCATACATGCATGATTAATGCATATTTCAGGACAAGATATAGTATCATTTTTATGATGTGAGGATTGTTTTAAAAGTCATCAAAAGACTACAGTTGCAGAAGGCAGTGTCCTTCAGCATAGGAATAAAAGGGAAAAACTATTCAAGAGAAATTGTTCTTTTTAAAACTTTGTTCTTTTGAAGTTGCTTAGCTCTGTAATTGCTTCAGGGTTTTGTAATTACTTTCTTGACCTCTGTAACCACAAGAGCATAATTGAACATGCAAGATGCCTGATTGTACCATTGTACCAAGCTTCAGGAACTGATGATCAGTAATCTGCCCTTGTAACTGATGATCTCTCCCTGCTAGCTAATCAGAAGAGAGGCCAGGCTTTCCTATCTCACCTTTGTGCCTCCTGCCTGTGCATTGTATAAAAGCCCTAGACTGCCAGAGGTGAGGGTCTAATACTCTGGGAATGATCTGATCAGTGACCATTGATATAAATAAATCTGCCTCCAAATCCTGGGTGTCATTTCAGTGTTTCTGCTTGTCACTGCAGTAATATCTTTATTTTCCTCTAGTGGGAAAATTAACTAATTTTTTCATAGAGGAAGACACCCTTACAAATAGAGATTTCCTATATACATGTAAAATTGAAATGTAATGAGAAATTTACCCATAGAACTTTTAGTGGGTTTATATAAGTAGGCCTTTAAAAATAGAAATAACAACCAACAGGTTTGCTCTGTCAAAGCAATGTATTAACATGACAAGTAGGTAAAATAACATAAAAATAAGTCATAATTTTGTTTCATTTTCATCTCAATGGTCACTTCCAGGAAAAATCTTGTCATTGTTGCACCTAAAGTTTCCTTATTGAATATTTATAGTAGTTTTAGTGAAAAAGAATATGAAAAATGATCAAGAACTTTTAAAATGACATTCCAAGGAATTGTATTTATGAAAACACATGTTTGGAAAAAAGTAATTTAAAAAATATAGACATTACCAGCTCTTCATGGATATGACAGAAAAGATCAAGATGCCATTATTGAATAAGAGCAGTCATGTGTTAAGAGTTAGTGTTGCATATATATGTATATCAGCCCAACCAATAATGGAGGTTGACCCAAGGAACACATAGAAAATTAACAATAAATTTTGTTATGAAGATTTAGGCTGGTATCACACCACCTTCACTGATAAGAGTTTCCTGGGACTTAGTCCTTGCCCTACTTCACAGAGGAAGAAACTCTTATAAATAGAGATTTCCTGTATAAATGTAAATTTCTCTCTCAAGAAAGTAACTAACTCTCTGTGTTGGCGCTTCTACTGTATCTGCTGCTTCTAAAAATAGTCAACTCAAAATAACGCTTAGACCAAGAAGGAGTATTTTGAGGCAACATATTCTGGCATTCTTTACATGATCATATATAATATACTTGTGTGAATTTCTGCAAATATAGATCCTAATAACCAACTGGTGATATTTAATTTAAAATAAAACTTTCTATATCCTATCAAGAATAAATTTAAAAACTGCGTTGTAAAATCTCTGTGAAAACTTGGATGGGATTTATTAATTCCAATAATAGCTAATATTTAATGAAAGTTCACTATGTATCAGGCCCAGCTTAGAGAAATGAAAACACATTACCTCATTATTTGGTTCATACTACAATTTAAGAGGCAGGTACTACTATTATTGAGACAAAGTCCTCAGGTCTCAGACCTGTTACTCATTAAAAGCAAGATTTGTGTCTTCTGGAGAAATCCGGAACTTGCAAGCTGATTTTGAAAAAAAAAAAGACACAAAACACACCAGTGATTCTTTACTCAGGCCTACAGATGCCCAGTAGGTAAATAAAATCAGAAGAGTACTTGTGCTTCATTTTCTTTCTTTCTCTTATATTACCTTAAAAATTTGGGTCACATTCTTGCTTAGCCCTGCATATAGGCATCAGTTAGAGGGCCTGTCTAAAAGCTGGTGATACCAGGTTGGTTTACACCACTGTCTTTCCACCTTCAAGACTGAGAACTCCAAGAAAAGAGATTGACAAAGATATTCAACTCACAACTATGTATCCACAAGTCTCCAATCATTAAACTGTGGATGCCCGCAGAGCCTCTACAGAACTAAGACTTCCCCAAGCAGAAACAAGCATCTCTGCAGACAGAATTAAAGAATAAAAATTTCTTTGGAGCCACCTTGCAAAAAAAAAAAGCCAGAATGGAGACCTAGTGCACTTAGCTAATGCATAAAAGCCACTCTTGTTCACTTGTGAATGAGCCAGTCTGGTCATCTTTACTAGAGCTAGGCTGCTTTGAATTCCTCAAACTCTAACCCTGCTAGTAAATCGATCCTAACCTCACACTCATAGGTCCTGAAAGGCTTTTCTGCTGTTAGAGTCGAAAGCCTACCAAGAGCGAGTTGAGGTATCCATTTCCTCTTTGAGGGTGTTGCTGGAACTCCTGGCTTCTGTTTCTCCTGGCTGGCTATGCCAAAATGTTATCGGTAGCTCCTTCTGAAAGTGGCTCGCCAAGTAAGCGTTACTGGGTTGCTCACCTTTCTTTCTGGAGTTGGATTCCAGGTTCCTCTCATCTAGAGCAAAGAATTCAATGAATTGAACAAAAAGCAACGGCAAAGTTTATTTGAAAAAGCAAAAGTGAAGAATAAGGGAGAAACTGGCTCTGCAGAATGAGCTTGAGCGGAGTGAAAGAGGAAAAATCCAGACAGAAGAACCCCCTGGGGACGGCAGTGTGCACTGTCCTGAGAAAAGCCTCCATAGCGGGCTCTTCCTGGCATCTGCGTCCTTTTTCACTGTTCAAGTCTTGAGGAAACCTGTGAGGACGTCTACATACTGGTCCTGAGAGGAACTGCTGGGACTGTAAACCTCAGGCTGACGTCAAGTCCAGCCGTCCTACTGAAAACCTGCCCAAGTTCAGGTGCAGGGCTTTGGGAACTGTTCTGCATGTGTTCCAGGATCTTATAATTAACAGGTCATGCCTACTTCCTCAGCCGTCTTTGCCACTCCCTCATCTCTTCTATTGGGGGAGCCTATCCTGAGAGCCCATCTAGTGATATCTTTAAAGCCTAAAGTAGTAAGTATAAGAGCCTGTGTTAAGCAATAAGCACTTTTGTCTGACACCAAAGACTGGATTTTAACCACTGCACTCTGATTAGCAGAAAAAAATTTGAAGTAAAGAAAAATCTGCTTTAAAATGTTGGTCAGGAAATGGTTAAAAATATATTTGAGATGAAATACATTTTGGTATGATATCACTTTACAGATTTTTTTATGCTTGCAAGTTTTCATTATACTCTATTATCTTATTTCTTAGGTGATTTTGCCTGATACAATTCGTTTATCTCTGGAGCCACAGAGGACATTTGATTTTTGAGACGCCTATTTTATTGTATCAGAGAAGAATAATAAAAAGTAAATATTGAGTCTGGGAGGAAAAATTGAAGCAATCTAGTGTCAGTAAGACAACTTCAGCACACCTCTAGGGTACCGCGGAAGGTCTCCGTCTGTACCTGGCAGTCTCTCCATCAGAACTGGGTTTGGTGCAGAACATATTTAACTTTGACATCATATATTTTCGTGTGGAGATAACTCAATTTGGGGTCATGCAAAGTGAAACTCTTTTAGAAAACACACATCTTGTCCACAGGGATATTCTTATCTAAATTAAGAGACTTCTGATAGAAAATAAATGAAGAAAAGCACTGCAATAAGAAATGAGTGTAATGATTTACACAGAACTTTTTCATAGAAAGAGCATATGCATTGCTGTCAGGATGACCTGAATTTAAAAATGTAGAGTTTCTATTTAATAATTCTCACTTTGAGATAATATCTGACTTTTGATCGCTCCAGAGATCACAGTAGCATAGAATTCCATTTATTCTAAGAAGAGTCTAGGATCCCTGAACTTTGATTCACTGAACTTTCTTCAATTTGTGTTTTGGGGATTTTTTTGGCGGGGGAGGGTTTGTCTTTTTGAGGCAGGGTCTCACTATGCAGTTCAGGCTGGCCTTGAGCTCACTTTGTGGCTAAGGCTGGTCTTGAACTCACAACAATCCTCCTGCTGCAGCCTCCCAAGCGCTCAGATTATAGTCGTGTGCCACCATGCCCAGTGAACTTTCTTCAGTTTGTGAAAGGTATACAAAACTACAGTGGATAACTTATGTTTTCTTTTCAATTATTCTTTCCCATGTTTAGTATATGAAATAATTTTTCTTTTTGGGAGGAGTGTACCAGAAATTGCACTCTGGACCTCATACCTCATTTTTCATTTTTAACTCTAAAATTCTCTTCTTTTTTGCCAGTCCTGGGGGTTGAACTTGGCAAGTGTTATACCACTAAACTACAATCCCAGCCCTCATTTTATACATTGTGTTTTTTGCTAAAATTTTTTATCTGTCCAAGCTTATTGTCCACATTTCCACAAAATGATTTCACAGATTCATAATAATTATTTTAAATCTTCTTGTCTATTTTAACCTGTGGGTTCTCTTTGCATCTGCTCCTATTGCTTATTCTTTTGACCATAGTCCTTATTTTCAATGCCTATTCATGTCTTGTAATTCAAACTCTGGACACTGGTATAAAGGAATAGTGGAGACTGAAACAATGGTATTTTATCAGCATTAAATGGGATACTCTTTCCTATAATCTGTATTTAAACTTGGTCTGATAATGGTTAAAATCTAGGAAAAGTTCAGAATACCCCTGGTTCCAAATGATCTGAAGGTCCGGTTAGGACTTTTCCTCAACACGGACTTGGTGGATTTAACTGCCAATGAAATTCCTACTGTGCCTCAGGGCTTCACGGTCATGTTTCTCATGTCACCAGAAACGTTTTGTGCTCTCCAGCCTTCAGGCCAAGTTACATCACTCTCTAAATCTCCGTCATGCCTTCTCTCTGTAAAAATTGGCAGGTAGGTAAAGGCGCTGTGGCTGCAGCCCCTCAAGGTTTTCCTCTGTCATTCGAGCCGTGTGCGCCCTTAAGTTCCTTACTAGTTTCTCCTGACCCTGTAAATCTCACCATCTGTGCTATGCTTGCACCTTCTCCCTGTGCTTCTAGGGATAAAAGCAGCAGGAGACACTTTCTGTCCTAGGATGAGCCTGTAGAGCTCTGAAATTTAGATCTTCAACTTTTCTGCGCACCTCAAGCCTCTCTGATGGCTACAAAAACTGTAATTTTTGTAGTCTACCCATCTTTGTAGTTGTTCAGTTGGAAGCAATTGTCTCTTGTGATTTTCTCCATTCCAAGGAAGAAAATCTCACTTTGACCATTCTGAATCACTATTTTATCATATCTAAAAGGAGAAAATTTGTGTGGATTTAAATATAGCATGTGAAAATTACTTGGCTTTGTGCCTCACTTGGTCGGTGCCTGATAAATATTAATGTCCTCTCTCTATTAAACTGGATATCAAGGGATGTCAAGTAGAGAAATAAACAGCGCGGTGGGTTTTACCTGAATAGAATTTGGAAGGGGTAAGTTTTGAACATGCAGAACATCAACTGACAAAAAGGGGGACAGGTGCAGTTTTTTCCTCGTTTATGTCTTTCAACTGATGTTTACAGAACATTTACTTGTGGATTATGCTTATGATAGATATGTTTCTTAGAGAAACTTCTAAAACAAAGATCTTAAATTACTCATCAGGGTTTTAAAAATCTTATTATTGTAACCACCCTATATCCTGCAGAAGTAAAAACAGTTATTCCTATTTAGATATTGAAAGAACAAGTTTAAACAAGAATGGGAGATAAAGTGGAAGTATAACCAAATCGGATAAAACAACTTAACCGAGGAACCAAACTGTACACAATAAGAAACAAATGAAAAGAGAAGGAAGACTTTCCACAACCAAGGACAGGAGACAATGCCTGACAGTGCTGATTTTTAAGGGAGGGAAGGGATGTATAAACACCTTTTTGTACACGAAAGAACTGTAGATCAGCATTGATCTCAGGCTTCCACACCTGCAAGAATGAATTGGCTTACTGCGGGAGTGGGATAAAGATCAAACAGAAGAGTTGCCTGGCCAATTACAACTGACCCTTCTTGAGTTTTCTCTTTCTGATTTGCATCTACTCAGACCTCAAAGAATCAGCTTGTTTAAACTGCTTTTCTCTCACCAGGAAAGCCAGATGGGTGACCCCAATAAGAAGATGAAATAAGCCTTTGTGTATAAAGAGGCTATTGTTGAATGGAATAATTCTATTTGGGGGAATGTGTATTTTCATACCACCCAATTTAATTGTGAATACATGGTTCACAGAAACAAAAGAGGGACAGAAAATAAAACACAAAGGAGAAGCAGTGAGAAGAGAGTCGTTTGTACATCTATCTGGGTTGGTAACAAAGTAAGATCTCAATGACACTAAATCCTGTAGGAGTGGGAGCAAAGGTGGATGTATCCATCCGTGACCTTGACCTATCAGCTATTATTTGAGTTTTCCCAGCTGCTGGCAAAATCATTTCTGTCTTGCTGGAGGCAGCAGCTGGGCTCTTACTAGTCTCCCTATAATTTCCTGCTCAATCTGGGAGCATTCGATAGGAAAATTATTTCTTCAAGCAAAATTTACAGTGTATATATCGGCCTAATAGTTCATTTATCCTCTAGGCACTTGTTCTGTCTTCTTATGAATGAGAATTACGCTGTGGCACCCCGCTCTGCAGCCATCTTACCCTTTTCTCTCTCCCCTCACTTCCTGGATCCCTGTGGAAGGAACGATTCCATCGGAAGTCTGTATTTCTATGTAGCTCTCTAAAAATGTGTGTGAAGTGTTTCTTGACTAAATGATTTTCTGTACTGAATAGGGAATAATATTTTTTAGATTACATTTATTTCTTCTTTAGATTTATTTCTTTACATTTATTTCTTCTTTAGATTACATTTGTTTCTTACACTTCTATTTGTGATAGTCACTACTCTAAGAGAAACAAATATAGTGTAAATGTTTAATTTATGTCACTCACTTTGGAAGCTATTTCATACCCTACCCTTCCTGGACAACCTGCAATCATAATCCCCAGGATTACCTGCATCCCAGCATTACCACACTGTATTTTAATTGTGTGATTTGATAGTATAATACAAAGTACTTGAGCTTTGGAATTCATAATACTAGACAAATTCTAGCTGGTTGACCTTGGACAAGTTACTCTGAGTTTAAATCTTTTCACCTGTAAAATAAGAAGATTTTCATTCTATCTATTGGGCATTAGAGAAACAGAGAAAATATCAAGCAGGAGCAGATAGCTAAGCTTAGAAATTTTTCTTCGTTAATTGGATCATATTCTCTCCTCATCAATATGTCAATTTTAAGTCTTCGTAACAACCAAATAGGGCATAATACTAGTGCCAATCTCTCTGAATCCAGGCAGATTTTCTATGTCTTTCTAACGCACACCTTATATTCTAACTTGGATTAAATTTATATTCTAAATTGGCTCTGGTTTGAGCATTTGAGAAACCTTGATCTCCAGAATTTAGTCAGGCAAAAGAGCCAATCTTGTTGTCTGTGAAGTTTGAATGGAGGACACCTGAGAAGATAGCTTGGGTTATTTCCCTATTAATGG